ATAATACTTCTTGAAATATTCAGATTTACAAACTCTCGCATTGTTAGCACTTAATTCTACTCATATACTTATTTAACATGTATTCTTAAACCTTAATTTACACACACACACTTAAACATATGATTGTGGGTTGCATATTGAATTATTTCATTATTTATGCTCTTTTGTTAAAGGTAACAATTAAGAGAAAGGGATAGTATATAATTAAAAAAAAAAAGAAAAAAAATGATAATAATAAAAATATAGATAAGTTTGGTTTCGTATCCTCCCTAACCTAAGTAATTAAGTCTGAACGAGTGTTTTAACACCTAATACCCTAAAGTCAACTGACTTGGGAGCTATTGGCCCAACGCTTATTACATAGGTTGAGGAGAAAATCTTAAGGGAATCAAACATTACACCATCTACATATCAGTATCTGCGACCCGAGTTACTAAGCTCGTAGGGGTGTCTTAACACCTAATGCCCTAAGACCAACTAGTCTGGGAGTCATTAGCTGAAAGCTCGTTACATGGGTTAAAGATGCATGGTGTTTTAAATTATATGTATATATATTTAAAAAAAAAGACAAAAATAATAATCTCAACCCAAGAAAGTTAACCTTAAACATTAGAACAAAAAATTTTGTTTTCTTCCAAGAAAAGCCCCATAATTATGTGTTAATGAGAGTTTGTTTATCTGGATAGATTAATAGAAGTTAAATGATGACTACCTTGCTTTGTGGAATTTGCAAAGTATTTTTCTATTTTAACGCTTTGATTACTAGGGATTATTAATAAGCTAGTTGGGGGGTGTGATTGATACTTAAAAGTATATTTTTATTAAGGTTTTATATCATTATTTTGCACTTGAAGTATCAATAACTCCTTAACTAAAGTATGTTTTATAATAATATATCTAATAATATAAGATACCTTTAATTTATGGTAAATGTTCATTTTAAATGCAGGCCTATCATATAAATGAAAGGATTGATTGATGAATTTAATAATTGAAATTGAAAGGACAAAGAGATGGCCAAACTTAGAAAAGAGATGTCGGTGCAGTCCAAACCGGAACACTATTCAGAAATTGGATCATTTCTAGAGTTGTAGATCTCGGATTTAGGTCTACTTTATATGGATGGAAAGGTAAGACATAGGCCTACAACTTTCATATAGAGCCCAAATCTAAAAGGGCCATTTTTAAGTTCAAATTGGAGCAACAACAAAGAAGTCTGAATCTGTCTTTCAACCCGAGTATTGTTCAGTATTTTGGCCATATCTGGAGTTCTAGAAGTTGAAATGATCTGAATGTTTTACACAAGACAAGTGAGACAATTTCCTACAACTTTCATGTTTTAAGTGGTTCCAATTTTGATGTTATCAATGATGTTTTGGGCAGACAAAAGAAGATAAGGATTGTCACCAAGTCAAGAGTTGGCCACCTACTCATCAATTAGTCATCAAATCAATAGTTCCTAATTTTAGCCTATAAAAGGAGGCATTTGCCATGCATTTAGGCATCTTGATGTCTAGATCAAGATCATACTCTTGCTTTCTCTCTTTGTATTTTTGTAATGTTTAAGTTTTGCTTTCATTAATATGTTGTTTATACCTTTCATTTCCTTTCCTTTACTTAGTTAACTTTTATCTTATTTATATTCTTATTTGTTTATTTATTTTTCTTTCTTTCATTATCTTTAGTTAAGTTTATTATGTCAAGGTGAAAAGGTTATACTAATGGTGTAAGAATAAGTACAGTATAAACTTAATATAGACTTTAATGTTTGATACTAACATGTTTTCTATTTGTTATATTGTTCACTCTTTAATACTTTGCTTGTTAAATGACTAATCTTGATTTATGTTGTATAACACTTGGTATAACAAATGCTTGGCACTTTCATAGCCCATACTGTATGGTATAACCGACACCTCAGCTATGAAAGGAACTTGATTTGTTATTAACATAAGTTATAATCATGAATGCTTGATGAAATTTACAAGTATTAGCATTAATTGAATAAGATGACTAATGTAATCATGTTAATAATCTATAATCTGACTGGAACCTTCTTTGTGTGTGGTTTCCAATTGAATAATAAGAGTTTATACTATACTTGTTTGACATACCATTAGTGGATCCTCTAACCTTGACATTGTTTGTTATCATTGTTTAATCCTTATGTTAATTTTCCATCTCAAAGTTCTCATCAACTTTTCTTCTTTTTTTCTTTATTATTGTTATTATTATTATTATTATTATTACTATTACTATTACTATTACTACTACTACTACTACTACTACTACTACTACTACGACTACTACTACTAGTATTATTAGTATTATTATTGCTACTATTATTATTGTTATTGTTATTGTTATTATTATTGTTGCTATTGTTATTTATAATTTGTACAATTAACCTCCCTATTGTTCGACCCTGGTCTTGCCGGGTTATTTATTACTTCGACACTCCTGCACTTGGGAGAAGACAACAATCTTTTGGTCGTGTCACTACATCTTAACCTGGTGAATATCTTTATCTTCTTATATGAACAAAATGTCATTGCTACCATAAGAATTTGAACATATAGTCTTCATGAAAGTTTTAGAAAATTTTCTCAGCTTTCCAACAAAAAAACAAATCGGTGTATTTGGATTTTTAGAACTTGAGATATGGGCTGAATACTGAATAATATCTGCGATGCAAGACAGATTCAGACTTCTCTTTTGATGCTACGATTTGGACTTTCAAACGGTAGAAATTAGTCTTGGACTCTTATGAATGTTTTAGGCAGATATCTTAGTTTTCTAGCCATATAAACCAAACTAAAATCTAAGATCTACAACTCCAGATATGACCCACTGACTGAATAGTGTTCTAGTTTGAATTGAATCAGCATCTCTTTTCTAAACTTAGCCTTTTCTTTGTCCTTTCACTTTCAATAGTTAATCATATTAATCAGTCCTTTGAATTACGAGATATGACTGCATTTAAAATAAGTACTTACTATAAATTAAAGCTATCTTATATTATCAGACTTGTTATTATAAAACATGATTAAGTTAGGAAATTTAATGATACTTTAAGTGCAATATAATGATACAAAGCCTTATTGAGAATGCACTTTTAAGTATTAATCAAAAGAAAACTAAGATTTTAAACTAATATTAAAAAATAAAGGTGTGTTGCGCTCATTGTGTTTTTATATTAGGTTTTATAGATGGAATTACCGATGAAATATTAAATATTATTATTTTTAAATAGTCCATCGGTGATTTTGTTTATAAAGTTCTTTTGAAATTTTTGTTTATTTCAAAACCCTTTCAAAGTTTTTAATTTCGTATGTTATTCCATTGGTAAAATAATGAACAATGAACATTAAAAAATACATCAATTACCAACGCATTAGAGTTCACACTCCATTGGTGATTCTGTTGGGGAACCTGTGAAAACATGTAACTTGATAAAAGCATTAAGTGCCAGCGTGTTGAAATTCGCATTTTGACAATGATTTCATTGGCAATATGAAAACTTTAATTGTTATCACTGACATGTGAAAAAGGGAATAATGCCCTTCACCTCTAAAATATTCTGATGGAAACAGATCGTTGGTATGCCCATGTTCGGTTATTAGATCATAACTAGAGTTTTAGAACTTGGATTTGGGTCTACTTTATATGGATGGAAAACTAAGATATAGGTCTAAAACATTAATGCGGAATGTAAGACTCAATTCTACTATTTGGAAGTCCAAATCTTAGCAACGACGAAGAAGTCTGAATCTATCCTACAGCCCAGATACTGTTTAGTGTTTAGCCTAGATCTTGAGTTCTAAAAGTCCAAATAACCTTATTTTTTATTGTTGAAAAGTTAAGATAATTTCCTAGAACTTTTATGAGATAGTCTGTTTAAATTCTGATATTAGCAATGATGTTTTGCTAGGTTATTTATTACTTTGACACTTCTATACTAGGAAGAAAATATCAATCTTTTAGTTGTGTCACTTAAGTTAGGTAAAGAGTTGAGTTTGAAGGTTTCAAAATTAATCAACTTGGTTGGTTTTAACATTCTCTGTGCTTTTAATTTTTTTTTTTTTACATTTAAAAAAATAATTGTTTTGACTTGCAGTTGAGCGCGGACCAATATACTAGTTATTACTCCAATCCAAGAGTGTTTGTGTGTGCAAAGTGTTTCTTCAATAAATTCATCATTATTTATAGTTTTTCGTATAAGCCCTATTTGTTTCATAAAAAGTGATTTTCTGAAAGTGACTTTCAAACTTTCCTGTGTTCATTTATCATTAGAAAAATTGGTAAATAAAAAACACGTTTCAGTTAAAAAAATTTAGTTTGGTTTTTAGAAAAAAATTTTTTATTTAAAAAAAAATACTTTTTAAAAGTTGAGAAAAAATAAAAAATATCTTATTATTTGTTGATTATATTAAATTTGGTTTGTAATTTTTTATTTGTTATATCTTTTGTTTTTGTTTTTTTTTCAATCTCATCTTTTAAAATTTGATTTTTATATTAATTTTGTTCCTTAATTTTTGTATTCTTATTTGTTATTTATTTTTTTCTTATTTTTTAATTAAAATTTTTTATCTATCAAATTTAATCTATATTCTTTTAATTATTATTTATTTATTTAAACTAATTTAGATTTTTTTTTTTAATTTTATCATCATTTAACTTTTTAATCAATCATTTAATCCAAATTCTTTTAATAAATTTAAAAAAATTATAGTTTTTTAATTTTATTTTACATAATATAATCAAACATTATATATATTTTTTTAATTTACTTTCCCTTATACTACTAAAATATTGAGAAATAAACTACTTCCAGAAGCTATTTTTTTATAATACCACTTAAAGAAAAAAAAACTAGTGTAATTGTAATGTAATTATAATTGTAATTTTGATTTTCTTCTTGGAAAGAAAGAAACACTGTATTTCTTCTTGAAAAGAAAGAAAGGCTATATTTAAAGAAATATATAAATAAAAAACAAAAATTAGTAACACGCTCTTTGGTTGTTTCGATCTAAACGCGCTCAACACACAGAGCCTTAGCAGTTATCTCCCTCTCTCTCAGTCCGCAAATTCCCAAACCCTAGCAATCTCCCTTTCTGTTTCTGCAATCTCTCCTCGCGCAATCGCTATCTCATTTTCTCTCTCCTTTCATACCTGTCTTCTTCTTAGCTTCTCTGTATTTTCCTCTGTGCACACCGGATTTGTGCAATTTTTGTTGGTATTATATAACGACGATGACTGACGGAAAGCTCAATCTACCTGAAGATCTCCTCCTCTCCTCCAAATCAGCCGATGAACGCATCTCCTCCTTCAAAGGTTCAAATTTCAAATTTCGATTTTCCATTGTTTTATCCAATCGATTTGTTCCTTTTTTTTTTGGACATGTACACTTCCGTTTTGGTCTCACCTTTAGGGTTTTGACTCTTATTTATATTTTTGCACTTGCTACTCTGTTTTTTTGGCAACAATTTTATCTGATTTAGTTGAATGCAAGTTACATTACTGTTGAAGTTGAATGGTTTCGATGTTAATCTATATTTCTGTGTATTTTTCGTGCTCAATGGTGGTAGATTACTGAGCTTAATAAATGTTCTTTATATATATGTATATAGTGGTTTTGTTGATTTTTAATGAATGGAACTCATAGTAGTTAGGAATGTCTTTCTTTTTGGAAATGGTAGATCTAGGAGGAATTGGAGAGAACAAGCGCCATTGAGTTTGGCAGATGAGTCTAAAGGTAGTTTGTTTTGTATTTCAAGGATTCTAAGCGGGAAAGAATTATTATACCCATTTGACAAATACTTATTCGTAGATTTCCGACATGAATTTGATGGTTTTTAATTGTATTATTATGTTGATTGTTCTTACTACTTGCTACTTACAGATCAATTGACTGTGGACAACACAATACCGCTTTCTCCTCAATGGCTTTATGCTAAGCCGGTGGATGCTAAGTCATTAACTGCTGGAGCATCAGGGGTATGAAATTTAATTTGTCTAAAGTTGAACATGCGCATCGACTGGTTGATCTTTAGTTATCTATATCAGTGTGACATGATCTTCTTTTGTTGTTATTTTTAATTTACTGATATTTATTAATACATGCTTGCTTGGATATTTCTTTTGTTACTACTAATTTTGTTACCTAATGTGATGTTCTGATATGTTTTGCAGGTTTTCTTGTTATTCCGGATAATTTATGTCATTTAGTGTGATTGTATGTTGTGGTGTTTAGAACCACTTATCTTATCTAGGGCCTTAACTAATTCTATGGATTCAGAGATGAAATTTATTGGATTTATAAGTCAATTGTTTTTTAACAAGAAGTTATACTTAGCAAGGTGTTGAAATACTTTTAGTTTTGGGTCCAACTCTAATCTGTCATTTTCAAATAATTCAACCTAAGGAGATTCAGTGGCAGCATCTTGATCTCTTTATAGGGAAATACCCCTGCGCCCCCTTTTTATCTGTCAGCAAGAATGCTTTCTTGTTGTTTATAAGTTACTACTTGTTCATGTAGTTTTGTGTGGGATGAACTTATATCTCAGCTGAGTTTCTAGAACTATCAAAAGGTTTCCTCTATTTTTTGGTGTTTTTCAGTGATCCTTGTGCCTGAAAATAACAGGAAACACGTGCATCAAATTCTTTGTCCCTTGGAAACTCCATTGATAACAATTTGAAAGACAATTGGCGTTTAGATGGAACCCAAGACAAGAAAGATCGGAGGAGGATTGCTTCTGACATAGAAAGTAGCCGTCGCTGGCGTGAGGAGGAGAGGGATACAGGCTTGCTTGGTAGAAGAGATCGCAGAAAAGAGGACCATCACGCTGATTCTGTTTCAACCAGAGATATATCTGAGAATAGGACTTTGTCTTCTTCTGATCGTTGGCATGACAGCAATAACCGCATTTCTGGGCATGAATCCCGAAGAGACAGCAAGTGGTCATCTAGGTGGGGTCCGGAAGATAAAGAGAAGGGTTCTTTAATTGATAAGAGGGCAGATGTTGAGAAGGACACTCACAGTGACAAACAAAATTTTGGCACAGCTAGCCGCCCAACTTCTGACCTTGAGAATGATTCTCGTGATAAGTGGAGGCCTCGCCATCGTATGGAAGTTCATGCTGGTGGACCTGCTGCATACCGGAGCGCACCTGGATTTGGGTCAGATAGAGGACGAGTGGAGAGCTCAAATGTGCGGTTTGCTGCTGGACGAGGGAGGTCTAACAATAGTGGGAACTTTCAAAATGGCAGGCATTGTAATTCTTCTCCTATTGGTTCCGTTCCTGTGGATAAAAATCATGCGTTCTGTTATCCAAGGGGAAAACTTCTTGACATTTACCGAAAGCATAAGACTCTTCCAAGTTTTGATCCTATGCCAGATGGGATGGAACATGCATCTCCAATAACACAGGAAACTGCTATCAAGCCATTGGCTTTTGTTTCCCCTGATGCAGAGGAAGAGGTACATGAATATTATCTAAGGTCATGTAAAAGATTATCTAAGGTCATGTAAAAGGTATGCCTTGTAGTGATTGTCACTACTTTAAATCGGATCATATGATTCTTGCAGGCTGTCCTTGGAGATACATGGCAGGGAAAAATCACAAGTGGAGGATTGAAAAGCTCATTTAGAGACAATGACACATCAAATAATAATACCGCAGGTGATCAATGCCCCATTTTCAGTTGACTTTTGCATATCATGCCATCTGTTCTTTCTAACTCACATTTTTGTTTATTCAGGCTTTGGTGAGGTGCCTTTAGGTGAGGGGAACCCAAATTCCTCTGTCAAGACTGAAGAAATTGCTGACTCTTTTGGAAAAATTACTGTTAATGTTTCTGGTCAAGGTATTGGTTCTGAGTTGTTAGATACATCAATGGCTGAGGGTAAGTGATCATAACATTGAGTTTTCAACTTTTTCTATCTCACTGTGTTAATACAATTCCATCTGTTATGTATTGCAGAAAAGGATTCACAAAAAGATGGCACACAGAAGCTTACAACAACAATTGGCAGAGAGTTGACGGATGACTTTGTGCCTGCAGTTTCCAAGAAAGATGATTCCAGCAGTGTTGGGGAGTGCGGTCCAAGCGACAATGTTGTGGAGTTGAAAGCTTTTGAAATGTCATCAGTGGAAGATGTGGCTTCAAAGAAGCACCTTAAGTTGGGGGATTATGAGCCAACTACTTTTGAAATTGGTAGCCAGCTTCCTGGCGATTCAAATTCTCTATTTGATTTTATTATTCCACCCGAGGAGCTATCGTTGTGCTATCTTGATCCTCAAGGGGCAATCCAGGGACCATACCTTGGTATTGATATCATTGCATGGTTTGAGCAAGGATATTTTGGAACTGATCTACCAGTTCGTTTGTCAGATGCTCCCAGTGGATTACCCTTCTTTGAGCTTGGAGATATTATGCCTCACCTTAAACTTAAACCTGGGTGCGCTTCAAGCACTAGTCCATCTGCTAAGTTACAACTATTGGAACCTGTTGGAGAAAGCTTGGAAGGGAGCGCACTGCCTCCTGCTTCTTCTCTTGAATTCAAGGGTTCTTCTGTCAGGGAAGAACTGCAGTATGCCTCATCTGGTCAGTCAAGAATACCTGATCATGGTTTTCGCCCAAGTACAGTGGATTCTGATGATCAAAGATTCCAAAATATTGTTTCTTTGGATGAAGGTAAGTTACTAAGAGTGATTCTGCTTTTTATGTCTCTGAATCCATTTTTTGTGCTAATTTAATTGTTTTGATCTTTGTTTGACACAGAAATTGTCTTTCCTGGAAGGCCTGGAAGCAGTGGCAACCCTTTGATGACAGATGCCGCAGACATTCAGAGTTTTGTTTCTAATCCTCCTAGCCACCCTGTCATCTTAAATGAATTTTCAGAAACTGGCATGCTTACTCATCAGGATGAAATAGTTCATCCATTTGGCTTGCTGATGTCTGAGCTCAGAAGCAACTCTCATCTGAAGCATGCTCAAGCATCCTATATGGCTTCAAGCATGAGTGAGGGTCATGCTGTGGATCCTTATACAGAGCGTGATGCTGCTCTTGCTAGCCATGGGTCCTTTGATGCAGTATCTGATCAATCCTGTTATACAGATACATGGCCTGAAGATTATAGTAAAAAGCCACTCATGAACTCCCACATTGATCTAGGTTCCACAGATGCTCGACACTTATTTCAGAGGCAACCTGAGTTCAATGATTTTGACCAGCAGCATCTCATGCCACAGAAGATGCAAAATGAACGTCAACAACAGGATCATGTCTCTCATCCCTTCTTACAGGAACTAGGTTTTGAGCAAATCCCTTCTCATCTGATTGAACTGCAATTTCAACAGCAGAGAAAGTTGGAGCTCCAACAACAGTGGCAGCTGGAGCTTCAACATCATCGGCAGTTGGAGCTTCAATGTCAACGGCAGTTGGAGCTTCAACGTCGACAGCAGTTGGAGCATCAGCGGCGGCAGTTGGAGCTTCAGCAACAGCAGCAACAGTTTGAACTTCAGCAACAGCATCATTTACTGCATCAACAACAGCTTCGTCAGTACCAAATGAAATTGCAGCAGCAGCAGGTTCTGGAACAGTTGCTGCAGCATCAGATGTCTGATCTTGGCTATGGGCAGGGAAAGGGAGATCCAATGAGAGACAACTTGGTTGATCCGAGTCAATTTAGGACACTACTTCCAGAACTGCAGCGAAATCTGCATATTCCAAGGCAATTGGATCTGTCACTGGAGCAGGTAATTCGAGCAAAGATTGGCCAGAATAATCTTCAAGAACTTCAGACTGATATCTTAGACCTCTTATCACATGTGAAGCATGGTAATATATTGCCTTCAGACCTGCAACTCCATCATCAGCTAGAACAGATGCAGGCGCAAGAGTTGTCTTTGGCTAGGTCAACAGGATTTAACACTTCAGATTGCCACCTGCAACAGCAGAGGCTATCCTCACATGATGAACATTTAAGACACATCAAATGGAATCATGCTTTACAGGAGTTACATCAGGGTGGGTTTTATGAGCCTAGCTCTATGGCATTTGACCATCTGACATCTCTTCCTGCTATCACACTAGGGATTAAGTTGGATAATGTAAATGGTCATTCCGAAGGTCCAGATTCAGCAGAACATCTATGTATGCATCCTGCTGAGCAACTGGGTTCTGTTTCTTCAAATGCTCCCTCTTGTGACCAACAAGTTCTTGATGATATTTATGCTTTTCATCCTGAAATGACAGAGAGCTACTTCCCTGGAAAACGAAGGCAGCAAGAGAATAGTTGGGTTGAAGGAGGGATGCAACAGCTGCATCATGAAAATGAAAGAAAAAGAAATGCTTCAGAAGCTTCTGGAAACTCAAGTATTTGGTTATCAGGTCAACGAGATGAGGAGAGCTCGAAGCAAGTTTTAATGGATCTTCACCAAAAAATAGGTCTTCAATCTATTCACTCATCAGAAGATGATTATGGGCACCTTATATCCTCTTCAAAGTCTCGGGAATCCTTTTGGCCGATCACTGATTCATCTTCTTCAAATCATAGTCCAGATCAAGAAGTTGCCATGAATAACTCATTTATGGATAGGCCTCAACATTTGAACTCAAATTCTCTGTTGCATGATAATCCTGCCATGGCCTTGAGTGGTCAATTACACCTAGGAAATGGTGAAAGATTGCATGGGTCAAATTCTGGAGCACTACCAGAAGAACCAACATTTTTGTCTGGCATGATAAATACTTCTCAAGCTAATCATGTGGATAACAGGTTTGGTTCAAAATATACCAAGGATAAAGACTTGGCAGAATTGGATAACAGATCCGGGTCCAAATGTGTGAGGGCCATGTCCAGGTCTGTTTCACACATTGAAGAAAACTTTGTTGAACAAGCTGAAACTGCTATGGATCTTGTTAATGCACATAGCAGGCATAGTTCACTAAGCAGTGCTGGTAATTTCTCTGCCATCTCGTCAGTTATCATTCATATGCTTAGATGGATATTAGAGGTTTTGTGAAAATCTGCAGGTGGATATGGAGGCTTACATGGCTATGAGATGGGATTAGATAATTCGACCAGTGAAGAGGTTTCTAATGACAGGTAATGTTTCTCAGCTGAGTTGTGGCATATGAGTTGTGGCATAGTATTGTCTTTAATGAGGTGGAACGCATCATCTTCTCTTGTTAACAATGATGTTAATTCTCCATCTTGAATATTGTGTTCTACACAAATGGCATCGAAGCACATACATTGTTACTCTTTGATAGGTTAGGTGCAACTTATGATTTCTTTTTATTAAGAGGCTTAAAACAAGATGCAATTTGTTTGGGTGAACACTTGCACCCTGACTGGTTTGGATTGTGGGTCCCCTTGTGCATGTGCATGCATTAACATGGTGTCATGTCCTCTTTTGTCTGCATCTTGTTTGGGTGAACACTTGCACCCTGACTGGTTTGGATTGTGGGTCCCCTTGTGCATGTGCATGCATTAACATGGTGTCATGTCCTCTTTTGTCTTAGTAGCTGCTGGTATCCTGGACTTATTTCTAGCAACTTAACTGACGTGAAAAAAGGTAAAAGATAACAGAGGAAACCATAAATCTTGAAGTGCCAAATTTTGAAACCATTGCTGGATTGCAAATGGGCCAAACCATAGGGTACTTTTTTACATTGCCCCTGCTTTTCTTTTCAAATAGTTGCTTCAGAATGAAAGAGAGTTGGTGGAGATATTTTTGTTACCCAAACCACTTTTTTAATTTCTTTCTTTTTATTATGATAAAGTAAAAACTTTAACATCTCAAGTGGCGCAGGAAAAACTACATCCTCTGCAAAGCCAAAGGGCTGATTCAATATCACCGGTGTTGTGAACAGAGAAAGCCTTATTTGTGGCGGCAATGACATTAACTCCTGAATTTCACAATTTACTTATTTTGCATATGACCTCTGTTGTCCAACTATTTATGCATGACTTGACTATTAGCAACTTCAGTGTTTGTTCATGTGTAAATCTTTTATGAGTTTTCCCTTGTAAATCTGTGTCATGACATCGGGAGCTATCAGTAAGAACTTGCTTCATAAACATAGGAGTTGCGAGTTGTACTATTTTAACCTGAAACTAATGTTGATTTTCATGAAAAATGCTTGTGGACAGGGTTATATTAAGTAAAGGGCTTGACATTTCCTTGCATAAATGCCCACCAGTGTCTCGAGCCTTGTCTTCCCTGGATGTTCTGTCAGACATGGCATCTGCTTCGCATAAAAATCCAACAAGCATTGCAACTTCTGATGGTATATCATTAGTGTCAGATTTGTTGTCTTTTGTTTATTGGGTTTTGGATAATTGTGGTGATTTACAAAAGAAAAAAAAAAACTTTCCTAAATTTCAGGAAGGAGGAATGAATCTGTAGAGAATTTAGCAGCAGCATGGGGAGGTGATACCCAAGCATCTGGCATGAAAGAAGTGCGTTTTAGGAGGACCGCGTCTTACAGTGATGCTGGTATAACAGAGACATCATTCATAGATGTGCTAAAAAAGCCTGTTTTTTCTGAGGCTGAAGCAGCTAATGCGGCTGCCTTGGAATCATCTGATGGTTCACTGACTGGACGAAGTGGGAAAAAGAAAGGGAAGAAAGGAAGGCAGATTGATCCTGCTCTCCTTGGCTTCAAGGTTTCTAGCAATCGCATTATGATGGGTGAGATACAACATCTTGCTGACAACTGATACATGCTGCTCTTGCACGTTTTTCTCCACTTGTTTTGGAGATGAGTAGATTTTGTACCGATTACTGAAGAAGCAAATAGGACTTGAGATTCTTTGATTTTTTTTTCTCCTTTTCCTGTCTTGTTGTTCAAGGTGTGGGGAAACTGCCTGAATTTCTGTTCTTGGCTGCCCTGCCATATTGTTAGTTTATGAAGTTCAAATTTTATGTAATATGAAATATTTTGTAGACATGAAATATGTTAGAGAATAATAAAATATACATCCTATATTAGGTTTTTAATCATTTCAGAGATGGTTCTTGATATATAATATAAATAATATATATTTTTATATTTCATGAGTTCAAATTAATTTTATTGTGAGTTAATGGAAGTTTTAAGCTTAAAGTTATACTAGAGGCAAATTATATTTTATATTTTAGGGTCCCAATCGTTGCTTGTAGGGGATAAAAAATGCAAAAAAAATATCTAGTTTATTATTAAACCTGAAAGTTCATGAAGATAACTATTTGTTTGTGAACTTTCATTGTTTTTGTTAGAAAAAAAAATATTTTATATTTGTTATCAAGTTAAAAAAAATATCAAAATATTATATTTATATTTTATATGATAAAATTAAAAATATCATAAATGTTATCATTATATATCATATATCGTATACATAATAATTATATAAAATATTATTAAAATTTAAATAAAAATAATATTAAAAAATAAAGAGTGAATTTTGCATGCATGGTAGGTAAATCCTATACCAAATGATTGATTTTTCTCATGTCTCCGATGATTTTTGAATTATAATTTAGTTATATTTATCAATCATTTGGATGATCGGTAACTCCGATACCAAATGATTGATTTTTGCAGTATCACGAGTTACCAATCATCCAATTTGCTCCAACAGACATGCGGCTCTGCAGTCAAAGCGACTTCGTCCCCTTCGTGTATGTTTAGATTTCATTAATAAGTCAACCACTGGAAAGCGTTATAAGTTTCCAGTGTATGGCTAGATTTTAGGAGCACTGAACAATCTGAGATGCGTATGTTATAAGTTTCCAGTGTATGGCTAGATTTTAGGAGCACTGAACAATCTGAGATGCGTATGTTATAAGTTTCCAGTGTATGGCTAGATTTTAGGAGCACTGAACAATCTGAGATGCGTATGTTATAAGTTTCCAGTGTATGGCTAGATTTTAGGAGCACTGAACAATCTGAGATGCATACGCCATAGTTTCATGGACCATGCCCAACTCAACTGTTGATTCAAGCTAGCATGGCTCATGAGAAAGTCCACCAGGTAATGTGAGGCTCAAATATTTAGTTTTTCAAAAATTACTTTTGTTTACTTGATTAGCTTATTTACTAATCCGACGTTTTTTTTCATATAAAAAATATTATTCAAGTACTTAAATAGGATAAAAGATAATATAAAAAATCAATTATAATAAATCTATAAGCAGATTAATTAGGGTTGAGTTATTTTGGGATATCTCGTCAAACCTATAATCTAAATAATATAATTTGAATAACCCAAGAAAAAAATAAAGAGAATTATAATTTTTTTTAATAAAAATAGTAATAAATTTTTAATTTTGTAACCTTAGTCATTAAACTTGAACCCAATCAATTAAATATTTAAAATAAAATTAAAAAAAATAATTATACAAAAGGATTTTAAAAAATATCAATAAAATAATGAGGATCAAATTAAAATGTAAAATAAATTTTATATTTAATTGAAGGGTGAAATTTAAAAAATTAATTTAGTAAAAGAAAAAAAATGTTTTTTTTAGAAAAAGAATGAGGATCAAAATTAATATAAAAAATAAAAATAATGTTGTAATTAAATGGTAAAATTGAAAAGAATTATAACTTTTACAAAGAGGTTAAGAAAAAAAAATCAAAACAATAATGACTGAATTGAAAAACATAGTACCATTAATTTGAATTGAATGATGAAATTAAAAATCACTAAAACTTTTACAAAAGAATAGAAAAAAATAGAAATCCAAAGAATGAGGACCTCATTGATAAATATAATATTTGATAAATTGAGATTAAATGATAAAATTAAAAATAAATAAAAATTTTATAAAAGAATCAAGATAAAAAATTATAAATCAAAAAAATAAGAATTGAAGTTGAAATACTAACAACCAAGAGAACTAAGCTGTAATTGTTTAAGAAGAAGATAGAGAAGAATGAAGAACAAGAAAGGCCTATTGACGCCAAACTAAACCACCAACTATGAAACACGCTACATTAATAGGAATAGACATGACAACACTTCCAATGACATAACTAAAGAGTATTTTTGGATGCTAGGAGGCGTTGCACGCATCAACTAAAAGGTATAGACACCTTTCATGTATCCTTGGTTGTGCCCCATATGTGACCACCTTTTTATTTTTATTTTATTTTATTTATTCAAATATACAATTGCCTCTAAGCTGATATGATAATTATCATTGTGAAAATTCAAAAACACCCCATATTTTTAGGCTTAATATTTTGTTGTTGTTATTTTAAGGTTATTTTCTTTGTTTTATTGTACATTTTATATAACGCCACATAAATTCTTAAGGTCTTACAATTTTGATCAGCTTTGCAATCAAGAAAGACAAGGTAAATTTTTTTACATACCATTAACTCAATTAACATTTCTCCAATGTATCATCCATGCCACAAATTACAAATTGCATAAAGCTTTACATACATGTAAATGCAATTACTTATCACATTTAATATATGAAATCAAACTAGTTCAAATGCATTGTACAAACTTATATAATTTTCAGACAAGCAGTTAATAATATGTGATTTCACTGTCCAAGCAATTTTCCCATTCTTTAAAAAAAACATGACATTGAGCAGATTCTTCGATATAAACCTTCATCGTAACACTATTGCTAAAAGATCCCAATCAATAGGGCCTTGTACTAACATATTAAGTCCATTACTTTACTCTAACCCCATTACCGGGTCGCTAGTTCCAACAACTTAAAATCGAGTGCTAGTCCCTCGACCAGGTAACTAGCCACATAGCCTAAACAGAATGCTAGCCCCTCAACTAGGGTAACTAGTCACACTGTCCATACTAGGAACTAGTCCCTAAACCAAGAAAACTAGTTTCTTCACATGACATCGTAGAGTTTTAATACAATTGAATGTGATTAAGATTAATATCTAATAATGTAGACATAGTTTTCGGTCAAAAATAACAATTATAATCTTTCTTTCATCATATTGATAAATGCTTTCAACCAAGGCTATTCATAACACTTATTTTTGGTTGTTTTAATATGGACCCCTTTAGCCGGAGTTAATCTCACCCTGTACTCCGACTATCCAACATGGATACCATTATGCGATTAATTTTGTCATTTTTCCCAGCTATCTAATATAGATACCATTAACCAAGACTAATCTTGAACATTTTTCATTGCCATACGACATGAATGCCATTAGCCAAAGCTAATCTTGAACATTTATTCACAGCTATCTGGCATGGATGCCAATAGTCAAAACAAATCTTATCATTTGTTCCTGACTATCCAATATGCTTATCATTAGCTAGAGCTAATTATTAACATTTATTCCCGGCTATCCAACATGGATGCTATTAGTCAAAGCTAATCTTATCATTTGTTCCTAACTATCCAATATGGATATCATTAGTCAAAACTAATTATTGACATCTATTCTTGACTATCCAATATAGATGCCACTAGCCCAAGAAAATCTTATCACTCATTCTTAGCCATCTAACATGGATACCATTAACCAAAGTTACTCTCAATATTCTTTATAATTCATGATTAATCAAGTAACAAAATTCAAATAACAATACTTTATAAAAGTACCTTAAGAATTTAATAGAATTAGATGAAGGTGAAAATCACCTACATGCTCCCCCTCTAGTATGTCCTCGCTCGGTCAAAGATCAGATTCTTGTTGCACCTCTTGATCTATAGAGAGATCATCATGCATTATATTTTATCTCTAAGCATCGTGAAAGATTACTCCCACACATATATATATGCACACACCTATACATACAAATATCTTTTATATTTGTGTATTTTATTATGTCTTTGCATGGTAATAATGTTAAAATAAGACATCTATACCAATTTTATTGAAAATCATCAACAAAAACTAAGTCACTACGACACTGAAAATCATTAGAAAATCATCAACAAAGACTAAGTTATTTTGACATTTAATTAGTACTTAAAAGTGTATTTTTATCAAGGTTTTATATTATCATTTCATACTTAAAGTATCAATAACTCCTTAACTAGAGCATGCTTTATAATAACAAGTCTGATAATATAAGATAGTAAATATTCATTTTAAATGTAGGCCTATTATGTAAATTAAAGGATTGATTGATGAGTTTAACTACTAAAATTGAGAAGACAAAGAGAAGGCTAAGCTTAGAAAAGAGATGCTGATTGAATTCAATTTGAAACACCATTCAGTTATTGGATCATAACTGGAGTTGTAGAGCTTGGATTTAGGTTTGGTTTAATAGATAGAAAGTTAAAACATAGGTCTAAAACTTTAATGAAGAATCCAATATTCAAAAGTACTGTTTTGAAGTTCAAATTATAGCAACAACAGAGAAGTCGAAATCTGTCTTGCATCTACACTTTTCAGTGTTCAACTCATATCTCGAGTTTTAGAAGTTTGAACCATGTCATTCTTATTTTATTGGAAAGCTGATATAATTTTCAAAAACTTTCATGAAGACTATCTGTTCAAATTCTGATATTAATAATGCAGTTTTTTGCAGACAAGAAGATAAAGATTGTTACCAAGTCAAAAGGTAGTCACCCACTTAACAATTAGTCATTAAATCAATAGTTCTGAATTTTGGCCTATAAAAGGAGGCATTTGACATGCATTTAAACATCTTGGTTTTTAGATCAAGATCATGTTCTTGCTCTCTCTTATGCCTTTTATTTTTTTTATTTTACTTATATAATCATGTTCTCCTCTTGTTTATCTATGTTTTTCTTATTCATAGTGTTCAACTAAGTTTATTATATCAAGGTGAAAAGGTTATACTAATGATGTAAGAATAAGTATAGTATAAACTCAACATGGATTTTAATGTTTGATACTAACATGTTTTGTATTTATTATCTTATTCGCTTTTAATATCTTGTTTGCTAAATGGTTAATCTAGATTTATGTTGAACAACCCTTGGTACAACAAATACTAGGCACTTTCATAGCCCAACTTTATCGTATAGCCGACACCTATGCTATGAAAGGAACT